TGCCTTGTTCTACATCTCCCATTGCTTTGCTCTATAGCGCAGGCTGAATTGATGTATTGAATTCTGCCGCACAGTCTTGTCTGTGAATCCATAAAACCTGTCTTACATGGGAAAGTTTTTTAAAGAGTGAGAAGAGAAGTGCAGGCTTTTTGACGAGCCGCTAAACTGACAGTGCCTCTCTTTCTTTTCAGCTCCCGCTGGACGCCTAGACTCGTGGACGAAGGTATCGGGGGATCACCTGCACAAACGACTCAACATACAGTTGTTTTGGAAGGTACACACATCACACTTTACATGTGGCTTGACACCTGTCACAGACTGATGTGTTTTTCTGTTACAGCTCTGGTTTGAGTGTGTGAGGTTCGCCTCTAAAATGCCCTTTCAACTTTGTTTTCTTTCCTCCCAGCCATCAAAACAATTCCGCGCCAACGGCCAGAATGTGTCATACATTGTCTCAGGGAAGAAGCTGCCAGATGCGAATGGAAAGGTGTGCTCTACAAAGGAGAATCACTGTACTTTCCAGCTTCCCGAGAAGGCAAAGAAAGTGTATCTGAGAGCTGTAAATGCAGCAGGAAAATCCCCCCCTACTGAAGTTCGGATTTACCGACCAAAAGGTAATATTAAATACCTTAAACCAGCTTGAAGAGGCCCTATTATGCTTTTGGGGGTTTTCATTTCCTGTTGTGTGTTATATAGGTTTTTGTGCATGTCTGCAAAGGCTAAAATCCCAAAGTTTGCTCCAGAGGGAGTTCTCTCCCGCACACCTGCCTGAAGCGCCTCAGTTTGACTTCTTTATTTAAATCTATAACATAGTGACATCACTACATAACACATGCACTTCTATTGGCTAGTGCTCCTACATATTGAAAGTGATAGGCTAAGGGGACATCTCACAACAGATAACCAATCACAACAGACCCGGCCAGCTAACCAATCAGAGCAGACTGGGCTCTGGTTTCAGACAGAGGGTGAAAAGAGGTGCTGCAGCACAGGCAGCATGAGAAAAATAAAGACCTTTTACATTGAAGCATATAAACATGTCACAGTAAAGGCAAAAAAATACAAATATGAACCTGAAAATGACCATTATAGGGCCCCTTTAAACTAGCATAGAAATGGCTGAAATAGATACAGTTTAAAAAACCTTTGTGTGTTTTTTTCCTGTAGATCGTGCAGTGGTATCAGGCGTCTCAGTCATTCCTAAGGATGACAGATCTCTACTGGTTCAGTGGAAAAGCCTGGTTTCCTCCACTCTCACTGGCTTTGTGGTGGAATGGAGACCATTGTTAAAAACAGACCTCTCTCTCACCCAATTTGAAATAACCGACAGAAACAAGACAAGCCTTGAAATAACAGGTTTGTTTTTTTGGTATTAGTATGGCAGATTTTAAGATCCATGTCCTTCTTATTTCACTCCGTTTTTATATGGTTTTCCTAATCTTGTCTTCATCTTTCAGCCCGAGAATCCGCTCTTATACAGTCTCCTTTTTCATGTCCCTGCACACTCTGTTGGAGCTTATGGGCGCTGATACACTCTAACCTCTTGACTCTCATCAATAGGCAGCTTTGAGCCCTACAAGCCCTATGGGATCTCTGTATATCCCAGGTTTAAGGATGGAATAGGCCTTCCTCAGACTGTTAATGCCTACTTGAGACAAAAGGGTAAGTCACTAAAGAGCTGTGAGAGAGACGAGTTGCCTCAACTTTGTGAGAAAAGAGTTGCTTCATTATTAAAAAAAAAAGAAAAGAAAAATAGATTGTGCAATCCATCGGAATCAGCTGATACATGATGAAAGAATGCCCTCTTGTGGATAGAGATGAATAATTATTGCTGCTGGTCAGACTCAGAATTAGAAGGACTTTATTGTCATTATACTCAGTTTTAACGAAAAATCACAGGCTTCCCTTGATGCAGTTAAAAATATAAACGAATAAATAAAAGCACTGATGAAAGCAGTAATAAAAACAGCTGTTGCATTAGTAGACGTTTTTCCTCCTTGTAGTTGTAATAATAAATCCCCCTGATATTTTTTTTAAAGCTCCATCCATGGTTCCAAAAATACAAATAAAAAAAAGCTGGCAGTCACATGTCGAGCTCACCTGGGATGAAATACCGTTAGACCAAAGGAACGGGAACATCCAGAGCTACAAAGTCTTCTACTGGGATAAGCAGGGAACCATTAACGGTAGGTAAAAGACCTTCATTTGTTCTGGTCCAAAACATGTTCTTACGTACGTGATGCTATGTGATGTCTGACTCTTCCTTCAGTTGTGGGAGCTGAACCAGGAGAGAGGAGGGTGGTCCTGAAAGGCCTCGACACCGAGTCTGTGTATGAAGCTTTCATGATGGTTAGCACGTCTGGCGGGAGCTCGAACGGATCAACGATTCATTTTAAAATTGAGCCTTTTGGTTAGTTTTATTGTCTGGATGTAGCTTTCAAGAAACATTTGAGTATATATTGCCATAGCTCACATTACATTCAGGATGTGTATTTCTCTCCTCTCAGATGCGGTTGCTGTTGTGACGTTTTCGACTGTGTCTGGTGTTGGGATGTCATTGCTGTTTATCATCGTAGTCATGACTTGTTTCTCCAACCAAAAAAGGTGAGATCACATACGCCGTCTTACTCAGTGAAGGTGTGATGTCTGTTTATCTTGTGATATCCTGTTAAACGTTTCTCTTTCTTTTGCAGGCTGAAGCGGCGTTTGTGGCCAGCTGTTCCGGATCCGGCTAATAGCAGCATCAAGAGATGGACATCCGAATCAACACAGGTGCTGAAATGCTGCCTGTGCTGCATAACATGGTTTCATGCAATAACTCATTTAGGTTAAAGCTGCAATATTCTATATTTGATACCAACAAAAGACCAATAACTATGTGCGTTGTGAAAGGTATCACACATCAACAATCCCTTTGGCTTCATAGCACAGTTTAGCCATTTCTATATGTGTTGTTTTACCCCCCAGAACATTTTGGTCTAGTCTAAAACCATGCAGGCAGCGATTTTCAGTAAAAATGCCACAGTAAAACCTCCCAGCTATAAAAGGAAGACAGACTGAAAAGTTAGACAAATATTGCACTCAGCAGCTGGAGACCAAAACAAAGCTAAAAAAAAGAGACAATATTTGACTTGGATATTCAACTCAGGGGGCCACAAACACAACTTTAAATGAATAATAATGCTGCTCCATATCTGCAGGGTGTGTACATGTGTAAAAAAGCAAGTGATTGAAAACATATTTGCCACAAATATATGTAAGCGTAGTGGTTACAGCTTTTTCCCAAGCCTACAAGCGAGAAAAAAACTGCAATGTTTGCTGCTTTAATGAACATATATTCATGATGTACAAGACTAAATACAGGCTGTATTTTCCTTTATTATTGAAAGACATTGAGTGACTTATTTAATATCATTTTGGCAGGATTCCCATCTTGACTGGGACAATGAGGAGCCCAACCCGATGTACCTGTCCCACCTGAGCTTCCTGGAGTTCCCTGTGAAACTCAGTAAGGAGGACGATGATGACGCCTGGTTAAGCAACGCAGAGGACACCAGCGACCTGGGAGAATCCATTTGCGGTTCACCCTTCCTCCCTGGCTACACTGGTTCCAACTGCGACTCTGTTCCTTACGCCACTGTGATCTTCTCTGGTCCCTGCGACAGCCCTACATCCAAAGACCCTCATGCGTACCTGCGCTCTGAGTCCACGCAGCCCCTCCTGGAGACTGAAGAATCCTTCACTCCAAAGTGCTACCAGAATATGGCCACTGATGAGCAATGTTTCTTTGGACCGTGCCATGATTGCGTACCTGAAAAAGGTACAGACCCACGGATTCTGTGGGATGACTTTCCTTTTCTACGAGCGTTGGCCTTGAGTGATTCTCAAATTGACTAAAATACTTGATTCTAAGAGTAGCTGCTTTGCAAGATGTTCATGTAGATTTGGGTTTGTGTAATGAGATGATTGTGATAAGTTGATTCTGCAGAGTGCACAGCTGTAAATGCATGCAGGATTTAATGATAAAATCACTTTAAGATTGAATGATTTTGATGTCCATACTTTCTCTGTACCACACTTCGTGAGAAATCAATATTGTAAAGAATTTTGTGTTTTGTATATGTTCTGATAAATGGGATTTTGACTGATCTTTTTTCTCCTTTAAATATTCAAGGCTTTATTGTCATGTGCACAGTAGCTACAGTGTAGATATGGCAATGAAAAACAGGTCAGCTCCTCCAACAGTGCAACATGAATATGTGACATAACACATTTAAAACAGATAAAATAGTGCAAGAGAATTTTTTGAGATGTGCAAGTAAATACAATAAAATTGAAATAGTGCAAGTCTATATACAAGCAAATGGAATATGATATATCAGATAAATAATTAGCTAAATGCAAACAGATGAATGTTTATGGATGTTCTTTAAAAAGTTCAGATGTTTAATATTCTTATGGCCTGTACAATATTGATAAAAATTGATTACATGAAAATTGTTTTTATGTTCGTTGTTTGGAGGCATTCTACGGCTTTTACTCATTGGGAAGATCACACTGTTGAGATGTCATATCTGCCTGTTTTACACACGTTGACCAACAGGGGGGTTTGTTTTCAAATGAAGCCTCATGAGATGAATTATTTTTGCTTCAAAGCTTCAAAGCTTCATAATCATAAGGCTTAATTTCGCCATCACTACATACTGCTATGAGTTGTAGTTTTGCATTAAAAGCACATTCCACCCAACCTAAAAGCCACCACAACAACGTATTAAGCCACTCACAAGAACCTTCACAAAATAATTAAAAACAATGATTTAGTGATTAGCAAACTATTTTTAATTTAAAAATAAAGCAGTAGAGGAAAAGAGACTTCCAAGCTCGTTTAACTTTTATTTTTCAAGACAAAAAACCGACATCAATCCTCTTTCATTGTTCCTATCGATGTGCTCTGTGATTACTTGCGCAGCCACTCAAAAACGTGCCTCATCCTCACTCAGCTTGTTTGGTCTAGACAAAATGGCGAGCCTCATATAGGGGTCGAGTGTGATCTCCTGCCACATTTAAATCCTTTTTTTGTGAGTTTAAAACCCACTTTGTGACCTATTCTGACCACCATGTTAGCTAACATTGCTCTGCGAACCGTCCTGAAGTCTTCAGTCGGTGTTTTCCGAGGGAGCGGCTGCTCTGCATTGACAGCAGCACCGAGACTCACAGGCGGTGAGTTGTATTTATGTATTAGTATATACCCCTCAATTATTATAAAACATGTACACCCTATAACACAAAACCATGTACACTTTACGCAGGTGTTGTAGCCTTTGATGGAAATGAGAGGGGAGAAGACAATCTCTAAATAAAGTTCACTGTAGGCGACAGGAACTATGATGAGCCAATGATAGACAATGATTTACATATAACAAGAAGAAGCTGGCTAATGCATTTATATTAAACCTGGTTGTTGTAGTTGCTAAATATTGTTACATTATTAACTACATATGGACCCACTCCTGCAGAAGTGTGTGCAGATGTGTTGCTTCATCACTAAGTGTGTATTAATCTGCTCGATCTGATGTATTATCTGGTTTATCGAGACCATACAAAGAGCTTCTAGAGCAGGGGTGTCAAACTCATTTTCACAAAGGACCACTCTGGGAAATTGGAATCACATTAAGGGCCGGACATATGCTTTACTGACATGCCTTTTTTATTCAATAAACAACATAAAAACATATCTTTCAATGTATTGTTGTATGTACTATATAGCCTTCCCATATATATTTAAACACATTGCTTGGCAATCATAGCATTTGGTAAAGCAAAATAATGCTTTCTGGCTAGCATACAGCCAACTCAGAACCTGTTGCACAGGCCTGAATATGACAACAATATGAAAACATTGTTGTGTTGAATAATAAACAAACACAAATCAACCTAATATAAAAGGACAAATATTGAACGTTGTCCCANAAATTATTAAAAACGATTATCCATTTACTTTGAAAACATCAATTTATTGAAAAGAAATTTGAACAGTATGTTTAAATAAAAAATAATAATCGTTTTATTTCGATTACGTTGTTTTCGTAATCATAGCAAGCCAAAATCGTAATCGAGATTAAAATACGATTAATTGCACAGCCCTCATACATACACACACACACACACGGCCGTATCCACCATTGAGGTCACCGAGGTCCGGACCGCGGTAATTTTTTTTCGAGCTGTGTATTTAACAAAACTTGTGAAATAATTGCACAAAACAGGGTATTTTGTAGTACTT